TTCCTGATAGAATCTGTTGCTTTGAGGCAGAATCTGATGGCTTTAAATGCATCTAGGCAACGAAAAGCAAGTTCCTTTGCATACTTTTTGAGTAGGACGGAAAGATTGAACGGTCTTCATTAAAGTGTTACTAAACCCACAACAGTAAAATCAGTCTTTATATGCAGTAAAGCATGTTTGTTATACTCACTGTGAAACCTAAGGGGTTAATCCTCTGCATTGTGTAAAAAGGATGTTTGATCCTTTCTTCTCTGATCCTCCCCTTCTTCCACAGTCCCCAATCCAACTGCCAATAGAACAGAGCCTTGGGGGCAAGCTGCACATGCTCAGTTTGGTGTGTATTGCTAAAGAGGGTTTTTTTTTTCTCTTGGGAGAGTGCATGTGATCAGCACAGAGCCATTCAGTGCTGTCCAGACAGAGGGTGAGCAGTCCAGCAGTCTCACAGGACAATGAGGGGAAAATGAAAACTCCTACTACGAACTGCTCTGCTTGATACTGATAGAAATCATAAGACCGCTCTAACTGATGAGGAAAGGTATTTAGCAGTTTATATTTACTAAAATAACTGCATTTCCATGTTCTGTGTACTGTGAGAGACCAGACACTGTATAGTAAATGCAGGGTCATAGGTTTAGTAACACTTTAAGGTGGAAGACTGATACTACCTTAGGAACAAATGATGGCCTTGGGCAACAGCCTACTTTGCTTTTGTGAAGAATTAGCTATGGCTCCTTACAAAAGGCACATCTGACAGACATGATACCAAAAAGCCCACTTTGCAGGAGAGGTCATCTAAATGGATATCCCTGATGGGTTCAAAAAGTGGTTTCTGTGGGGTAGAGACAGCCAAGTTGAGGTCACAATGAAGCAGAGAGTGCTGCAAAGAGAAGCCTAAACCAAGATACACCTTGGATAAAGATTTTGACAAGAGAGAACAAGGCCAGAGGATTTGAAAAATAACGGAGAAAGCCAAAACATGTCCTTTCAGAGTGCTTGCATTGGAACCAAACTGTATCTGAAAACTACAAACTGAAAATGGTACTAAATTCATTTTTAGTATTCAAAGGAAACTCACCCATCCATCCATGTCCCAATGCTTTATTTTGTTGAGAAATCACTTTAAAGAACAACCCATAGCATTCTACCCGTAAAGTAAAGGTAGATGATTCATGTAGTTACTTCCTTGAATCCATTTTTCCTTAGCTCAGACATGAAGGCAGCAGGGAAAGTCTCTTTTCACCTTCCCCATATGATAGAAAAGAATCTCTATGAAGACTCTTGGTTAGATGAGCTTAAACTAAATATAAAACGTGTGAAGGCAAAATAAATAATGGAGAGTAGCTGTCATTGCCCCTATACCATATTCTCCTTTGGAAGAGCAAAAATTTTCATCTATACATTGTGCTAGGCAGTTTCTCTGCTCTCAAGCACAGCAAGCACAGCAGCAGCGCTGTGGGTGTATGTAAAACTCCCTAGCATGCACCAGCATTCAGACACTAGCAATAACAAAGGAGGTTTTCTTTGGTAGGGGAAGCATCAAAACATATCCAATAAACAAAATAAAATTTCTTCACAAATTTAGGCCAAAATGTATTCTGCTACATCTTTGGTAAAAAAAAAATCCCAATAAGCGTATCTTATTTAGTCTGTAGTAAAGTCATAGAATCTACAAACTATGGGATATACACTGATCAAAAAAATTAAACGAACAATTTGAAAACACATCAGATCTCAATGGGGAAAAATATAATGCTGGATATCTATACTGATATGGACTGGGTAATGTGTTAGGAACGTAAGGATGCATGGAAATGAAAATGATCAACCTACAGAGGACTGAATTCAAAGACACCCCAAAATTCAAAGTGAAAAATGATGCAGCAGGCTAGTCTATTTTGCTGAAATTTCAATGCAGCAACTCAAAATGGTACTCAGTAGTATGTATAGCCCCCACGTGCTTGTATGCATGCCTGACAACATCGGGGCATGCTCTTAGTGAGACAGCAGATGATGTCCTGGGGTATTTCCTCCCAGATCAGGGCATTACTGGGCTCCTGGACAGTTTGAAGTGCAGCCTGGCGGCGGTGGATGGATCGAAACATGATATCCCAGAGGTGTTCTATTAGATTTAGGTCAGGCGAGCGTGGGGGCCATTCAGTGGTATCAATTCCTTCATCCTCCAGGAACTGCCTGTATACTCTCACCACATGAGGCCAGGCATTGTTGTGCACCAGGAGGAATCCAGGACCCACTACACCAGCGTAGGATCTGACAATGGGTCCAAGGATTTCATCCCGATACCTAATGCCAGTCAGGGTGCCATTTTCTAGCCTGTAGAGGTATGTGCGTCCCTCCATGAATATGCCTCCCCAGACCATCACTGACACACGAACAAAAAGGTCATGCTGGACCCTGTTACAGGCAGCATAACATAACATTCTCCACGGCTTCTCCAGACCCTTTCACGTCTGTCACGTGCTCAGGGTGAACCTGCTCTCACCTGTGAAAAGCACAGGTTGCTAGTGGCAGAGCTGCCAATTCTGGTTTTTAATGGCAAATGCCAATCGAGCTCTATGATGCCAGGCAGTGAGCACAGGGCCCACTAGAGGACATCGGACCCTCAGGCCACCCTCATGAAGTCTGTTTCTGATTGTTTGGTCAGAGACATTCACACACCAGTGGCCTGCTGGAGATCATTTTGTAGGGCTCTGGCAGTGCTCATCCTGTTTCTCCTTGCACAAAGGAGAAGATACCAGTCCTGCTGATGGGTTAAGGGCTGTCTACAGCCCTGTCCAGCTCTCCTAGAGTAACTGCCTGTCTGCTGGAATTTCCTCCATGCTCTTGAGACTGTGCTGGGAGACAGAGCAAACCTTCTGGCAATGGCACGTATTGATGTGCCATCCTGGAGGATTTGGACTGCCTGTTCAACCTCTGTAGCGTCCAGGTATCACCTCATGCTACCAGTAGTGACATTGACCCTAGAAAAAGGAAAAACTAGTGAAAAACAGTCAGAAAAGATGAGTAGGAAAAAAATGTCAGTGGCATCCACCTGTAAAACCATTCCTGTTTTGGGGATTGTCTCATTGTTGCCCATCTAGTGCACCAGTTGTTAATTTCATTAACACCAAAGCAGCTGAAACTGATTAACAACCCCCTCTGCTATTTAACTGACCAGATCAATATCCCAGGAGTTTAATTGACTTGATGCTATACTGTGATTAAAAAGTGTTCCTTTAATTTTTTGAGCAATGTATACTTGAAAATCGATCCTGATGTACTGACAGCCAATCTAAATTCTTGAGGCCCTTAAAATGCCAGGACAGTACATATATCCCCATATTACCCTGAGGTATTTAGTAAGAGGCATGGTTTTTTAAAGTTGTAATTTTGCCACAATTTTTTGGAAAATGAAATAATTAAATAAAATTTGGGGGAGTTCTCTGCCTTTTTTGTTTTATATATACCGTCACCAGCGCATTATGGCATCATGATATGACGGCGTGGCGGTAATCAGGGACACTGACTGGTGAAAGCATGTTGAAAAAAAACCCAAAAATGTAAAAATAACTTTTTATCTTTCATCAGAGTAGTAGTTACCACAGTAACATTATACTACTCTGGTGGTGTGAGCAGGGATTTTTTTTTTACACTTTGATTACTGGTACAATTAAGATCATTGTACCAGCAACGTTTTGAACTGTCATGGGTGGGTTAGGTTCATGGCAGCTGTGGATACTAGTGATCTGTGATTGGCTACAGCTAATCACATGGTACATAGTGCTGTGATTGGCCCAGGTACCATGTGATAGCTGTGGGCCAATCACAGCTCACTAGTAAAGAAAGCAAAGCTATTATAAATCATATTGGTTTATGTTGACATTGTGATCATGTGATTGCATTCTGGACACAGCAGTGGACACAGCAATCACACGGGGGGGGGGGGGGGGGGGGGGTGTTCTGTACAGGCAAAATTATATACAGGTACACCGCACTGCCTGTACGTGCCACCCGCCCACAGTAAATGTACTGTGGGTGGTCGGCAAGTGGTTAAGAAGACTTTGAGATGACATGATACACTTTCACAAAAACTGCTATGAAATCTGCCTTTCTAGGCAAGCTGGATTTTATTCTTGGTAGACCTCAACACTTCTAAGTTTTGCATCCCATGAATCTGAAACAACAATGAAGCTGGATGGTACATTTTTCCTAGGGAAGCTGCAAAGGCCAGAAATCTAAACAAATAAAATGCAAATTTCTAACAGAAAGTAGCACTTCTATTAAATTTTTAAATTCTAATACAAAATATCATAAGAAAAAGTAAAGATTAATATGTCCTATAGTGAAACCCCCTTGACAATAAGACATAGCTAAAATCATCTATCCATACAATTGCATACATTTACAGGGTCACTTACCCATACATACACACATTTACATTCATGAGCACAGTCAGCTTTCAGGAAATCATGCATTAGGGACACAATTAAAGGGACATTCATCCCTGGAAAATACCTAGCGAAAAAACTGTGTCATTCAGTAGCATTAGAATTTAGACAGTTGTCTAATTTTTACATAATTTACTTAAACATAATGTATGGCTTTTATTTTATAATTTTAACAAAAATGAGACCACTGTCTCATTCAGTTATAATACTACTGAATGAAATAGTTTTATAGCTAGGGATTTACAATGGATGTATGTCCCTTTAAACCTTGAAGTAGCTTTTCCAGGATGGAAAATATGAAGGGTTGATGTGTTTTATTAGGCAAAGGTGCTTTTAGGCATGTCTAGGGAGTTTAAAAATAAAAGGGGCTTTATGGTACCCTAAACCTTTATTGTTTTTAACATTGCGCTGTTTTTCTCTCCTCCCTGCCTGTCTCCAGCACCCCACACAGGGACTAGCAGGGAGGGGAGAGACCTTGCAGTGTGACGAGCACCGATTGGGTGCTCACAAGGAAAGGGGTCCCTTCACTATATCTGGTCTCCTACAGTACACAGAACATGGAAATGCAATTATTTTAGTAAATATAAATTGCTAAATACCTTTTCTCATCAGCAGTTAGAGCAGTCTTGTGACATCTATCAGTGTCCAGCAGAGCATTGGTTAAAGCTTGTAGGATGAATTTTCATTCTACTCTGACTGTCCTGTGAGACTGCAGGACCCCTAATCTTCTGTCTGGGCAGTGCTGATTGGCCATGTGCTGATCACATGCACTCTCCCAAGAAAAATAACTCTCTAGCAATACACACCAAACTGAGCATGTGCAGCTTGCCCCCAAGGCTCTGTGCTATCAGGAGATGAGTCAGGGGCAGTGAAAGAAGGGGAGGATCAGAGAAGACAGGATAAACATCCTTTTCACACAATGCAGAGGATTAACCCCTTAACTTCCACAGTGAGTATAACAAGCATGCTTTACTGCATTTACAGATTGATTTTACTGTTCTGGGTTTAGAAACACTTTAACAGGTCCCTTTGTACCCAAAGTGGCATTGCGAGCCAGAGGAGATCCAAGTGCAGCAATGCTGAAGCCACTGCACACAGCACATTGGTAATCAAATTGTGTGAAGCTGCAACCTCAGGTGTATGAGTCTGGGGGTGAGTGTCTCCAGGTCTTTCTCATTCCCTTCTACAGTATGTCCACCTCTTCTATGTCGGGCATATTAGGATCCATATCAGGTAGAGAATGTGAAGCTGGAGGAGGAGCCTAATGTTTTGGAGCCCTGGAAAGTGATTGCTGTATTAAAGTCATTAGTTACAGAAAAATCTGCCTTAGTCAAGTAGGTTGCTTGTTGTGTGCTTTAAATAGAACTAAAATTGAATGCTTCAACGCAAGGAAAGCATCCTCACTTTAAGATTGAATGTGCTGCAGGCCTTCGGCAAAACGTATGTTCACCTGAGCTTTGACCATGGCTCCATTCTGCCTGGTTTCTGCCTTAACTATGGGTCAGGGTATTTTTCTGTGTGGTACTCATGAAGTACGCTGTGAAATACAGGGTAAGTGTGTCTGAGAGAAATATGCAGCAACCCAAGTGCAAACAGTCCTGCAACAAAGTCCTTGTGATGAAAGAGCAGGAGAAAGTGCTAGAGTGTCTTATTAGGGCTGCAGGTGGAGGTGGCAGTAAAGTATGCAACCTGTGCTGTAGTGTAAACCCTTGTCATCCACACGCGAATAAGCTCTGAGTGGTTGAATTTTAGTACCATGTTTGAAAAGTTTACACTGTAAAGTAAATACATACCAAACAACTGAGGACTTAAGGGGTGAGGTAGGGTTACAGGGAAGGCGCCCATGGGACATGTCCTTAAAAGTTTTGGCAGTGTCCAAATACCTGAAGGTACATGTCTCTAACCCATGGTCTATAAATACTCAGCCTGTGTCCTATACTGTATGATTAAGACAGGCACTTGGGGACTAGTAAAAACCTAGTTAAAGAAAATACGTTCATAGTTACCAATCAGATTTCATTGTTTATTCTGAAGAATTCAAAGGAAACAATAAATATGACTGATAAATATGGGCAATAACTCAACTTTTCTATCCATTTTCATTTCTCCATTTTTTTCATCAAATACCCCCCTTAAACCAAACTGTGTTGTGCTATGCAGAAAGTGGGGTGAAGAAGAAGTTGGTGCTGCTTCTGCAGGCTGTACTGTACTGAATGGCTCTTCAGAATGAATGCCAATGAGAGCACCAGAGAAATGAGGGAAGCTTCTTTTGTTTTTCTCATATAACTTCAGTTGTGTTTTAAAAAGTCTACGACATTTATTGCAATGATATTATCAGTTGTACTGCAGAGTTGTACATGCTTCTCTTCTGGGCACATAACAAGCACCCTAGAGACTGCTGAAACTGCTCAACATGAGGGCTAAATGGAAGTTCCTAATCCAGCTATTTTGTATTTGAATATTTGGAAAAGAAAAACAAGATAATGCACATTTAATTTTAAGCATTTTCTTACCCAGAAGATGGAACTTCACTTTAACACAAGTGCCAGGTACTGTACATAAAGAAGACCATTACCATAACCATTAAATCAGAAGTCATCCGTCCCTTTCATGCCAGATATTCCTTGTCAAAAGTTAAGCAAAATTTCATATAATGTAACCAGAGCTTACAGGAAATAAAGGTGGAGTTTCATGGCAAAAAATTTTAATTATCCCTCAATAGCTAACAGGTCTACAAGCTTCTAATTTAGCCGCCTCTCTTCTTAGCAGAAACACAATATCTGCTCATTTGTTTCTATCCCTCCCTCCTAGATTGTAAGCTCCAAGGAGCAGGGCCCTCGAACTCCTCGTGTTTCGCACTGTATTGTTATTGTACTGTCTCATGTATTGTCCCCCATTGTAATGTACAGCGCTGAGCGAACTGTTGGCGCTACATCAGTACTGTATAATAATAATAATTTTCTTTTCTTCTGTCTTTTCTTTCCCTGTTTCTCCTTCTGCCCACTAAATAGGCAAGATTACATCTAAAAGTACCTCAAACATGCTGAACATGAAGAGTGAACATGCTGACAATGGTTTTCATCTTTCCCTTGCCCTATTATTGGATCCATTATATTTCAGCCTATTCAGTGTTCTTGTTATGTAGTTCAATCTCACACTCCTAACATTTAGCTTCCATATATGTCATGATATACTATAAAAGACTTGTAACCAGATATCTCATAACATTCCTATGTTCCTATTTGTCTCCCACATTTGTAATTGGTGAAGCCATATTTTTCTTGCACCCTTTATGCTAACTTGTTGTTGCAATGTGACACTATCTAAAATTTCTGTAAAAAATGTAAATACAATCTCTTGGTAAAAAAATGTAAATAAAAAATGTAATAAAAATAAAAATAAAAATGATCCAAAACAACCAAATTGTTAATTGCAAATATTAGACCGTCATTAAAGAATGAACTAGTTTGTCTACAATGTTACAATTTTATAAGTAACATTTAGGTAAGGAGGTGACTTGCATACAGTTATACTTTTCAACACTTTAGCTTTGTCTTTTTGATTACATTTCATATATTTAGTTTTCAAATAAAGTTATACCATTTTTAGCTTTCTCAATAGACTGAATAAAAGTTTTGTTGTCAGGCATCACTGAGGAAAAATCTAAATTACATTTTTCTATTCTCTGTTGGACAATGAATAGTATCGGTTGAACTTCCAACTTTATGCTTTTATAATGACTAACAAAGTATAATAAAAACAGTATGGTAGTAATACACTGCATATATTTAGTTTGAAATAGCATTCCTTTTTTTCTAAAACCTAAGTTAAAGGAAAGAAATGTTCGCTCAAAAACATACTTGTAGTAACGATACATGGACATTAAACAATGTGTGCAAACCCGGGCAAATTGAATTTCTGTTTTCTTGTCATGACAGCCCTGAAACTCATCTAGGAAACACATATAATGTACATTCAATGGCCATGGAATGTATAAAAGATGTACATTTGAAAATATTGTTTATGTCTACCTACAAAATGGGACTTTCATCTTACCAATTTTGTTTTTCATCATTTTCTTGCTTTTTTAAATGCATGACATGATTACAAGAAAGTAGGCTGACTGCACATCCAAATATACAGTTGTGTTCAAAATAATAGCAGTCAGACATCACTAACCTGATCAATCACTGTTTTTGGTAGAAATGATATTTCTACATGGCAAATAATTTACTAGCAGGTGTAGTAGAGTAATAGAAATCCAACAAACCCAACAGTCATGACATGCATGCTGCTGATTCTGTGTAATTGAATCGCTAATTGAAAGGGGCATGTTCAAAATAATAGCAGTGTGGAGTTCTATTAGTGAGGTCATTCATTCTTTAAGAAACAGGTGTCAATTATTGCCTTTATTTAAGGAAGGAAGACAGCAAATGTTGTACATGCTGGTTACAGTGCATTTCTCTCTGAAACTCTGAGGAAAATGGGTTGTTCCAGACACTGTTCACAAGAACAGCGTACCTCTTGATTAAAAACTTGATTGGAAAGGGGAAAACATATAAAGAAGTGCAGAAAATGATAGGTTGCTCAGCTAAAATGATCGCAAATGCGTTAAAATGGCAACCAAAACCTAAAAGATGTGGAAGAAAGCTAAAAACTACCATTCGAATGGATAGAAGAATAGCCAAAATGGCAAGGACTCAGCCAACAATCAGCTCCAGGAAGATCAAAGAAGGTCTAAAGTTACCTGTGAGTACTGTTACAATTAGAAGACGCCTATGTGAAGCCAAGCTATCTGCAAGAAGCCCCCGCAAAGTCCCACTGTTGAAAAAAAGACATGTGCTCAAGAGGTTACAATTTGCCAAAGAGCACATTGGACTGGCCTAAAGAGAAATGGCGCAACATTTTGTGGACTGATGAAAGTAAGATTGTTCTTTTTGGGTCTAGTGGCCGGAGACAGTTTGTCAGATGACCCCCAAACACTGAATCAAGCCACAGTACACTGTGAAGACAGTGAAGCATGGTTGTGCAAGCATCATGATATGGGGATGTTTCTCATACTACGGTGTTGGGCCTATTTATCGCGTACCAGGAATTATGGATCAGTTTGAATACATCAGAATACTTGAATAGGTCATGCTGCCTTATACTGAAGAGGAAATGCCCTTGAAATGGGTGTTCCAGCAAGACAACGACCCCAAACACACCAGTAAACGTGCAACATCTTGGTTCCAGACCAACAAGATGAACGTTATGGAGTGGCCAGCCCAATCCCTGGATCTTAATCCAATAGAAAACTTGTGGGGTGACATCAAAAATGCCGTTTCTGAGGCAAAACCAAGAAATAGAGAAGAATTGTGGAATGTAGTCCAATCATCCTGAGCTGGAATATCTGTTCACAAGTGCCAGAAGTTGGTTGACTCCATGCAACACAGATGTACAGCAGTTCTCAGAAACAGTGCTTATACAACTAAATATTAATTAAGTGATTCAAAGGAAAGCAAAATCTTCAAACATTTTTCAGTTTATATAGTGAATGTTTGAGTTTGTAAAGAAGAATACAAACACTGCTATTTTTTTGAACAGTCTAATTTTCACTTTTCTTCAATTTTTTTAGAGGAACAACACAAATTTGATATATTTTTCTTCATGTTTTGATTTGGAATAGAATGTGTAGTGTTCCCAATGCATTTGTGTGTATGGAAATAAAAGCTATTAGAAGGATTTTGAGCTTTATTCACTTATTTCAACACACTGCTATTATTTTGAACACAACTGTAGATGTCACAATGAGGTAAGATGACGGAGTGAGATTTATAGAAAGAAAAAGTAGTAATTCTAATTTTGTGTATGGCTCTGGTTACTAAGGCAACACATAGCAAAAATAAATTATACCAAAGCATTAACGCAAATTAAGAAAGAAGTATGGCTTTTGAAAAA